CCCCCCCCCCCCCCCCCCCCCCCCCCCTCCACCTCGTAGGCGTCGGTGATGAGCTGCACCACATTGCTGGAATCCTCCCTCAGTTCCCCCACCACCGCCCCGGGGATCAGGCGGCTCAGCTCCTGGATGCCAAACAACAACGCGGCGTCACCCCCCTGCCCGCCGGGCAGCCCCCTAACCCCCCCCCCCCCCCCCCACCCCCCCCCCCGCACCCCCCAACCCCCCCCTCACCCGGTACACCGGCACCACGGGCGCAGTGACGGCGAAGATGGGCAGAATGTCGGCGTCCGACAGCACCTGTGCCAGGTGTCCCACCGACGGGTAATCCTGCAGGGGGAGCGGGGCGGCACCGTGGCAAACCGCAGCCCCCCAACCCCGCGCCGCCCCCCCCCGGCCCCCTGACCCACGTAGAGGTGGCTGCTGCTGTACTCGCCGTGCACATCCAGGTGGCAGCGGCCGTCGCAGGGCCGTGCGATGCCCCCCAGGCGCCCGTCCCCCGCCGTGTGGAAAACGTCGTCCGATGCGAAGAGCAGCAGCCGCCGCACCGGGCGCCAACCGATGCGCTCCTGGGGGGGGGGGGAGGAGAGGGGAGGAGAGGCGGGGAGGGGGCGCCGTGTCCCCACGTGACCAACGGGTCCCATCGCCCCCCCTGTGACCCCGCACCCTCACGCCTGCCCCGCTCCACACATCCCTCTTGTTCCCAGTGCCCCCAGGGTCCCGATGCCCCTCTGTGTCCTCACTGATCCCCGGTGTCCCCCCGCCCCCCCCCCCCAGTGCTCCCGGTGCGCCCCATCTCTTGCACACCCCCTCGTCCTCTTGCACTCTAGTCTGTTGCACTTGCACCCCCCTGCCCACCCCCGCTCCCTCGCACGCATTCATTCCCTTGCACAGCCCCCTCCCCTCGCACAGCCCCGCTCCCCTTGCACGCACCCTCCTGCACGCACCCCGTCCCGCACACCCCACCTCTCCCGCACCCCCTCTCGCGCCCCCCACCTGGCACACGGCCACCTGCACCATGGCGTCGAAGCCGCCCTCGGGCGCGTCCATGTTGGCGGAGACTCGCTGGCTGCTCACGCGGCGCCTGAACTCGGCGCCGTCGTCGGTGAGCGGCAGCAGATGGCGGAAGGCGGCCGGGGGGGCGCAGGGCTCCGCGGCGGGGCAGGGGCTGCGCTGGGGGGTCACCGCCGAGAAGGGCAGCAGAGGTTTGTCCACGAAGGAGCCGAAGCCTGAAGGGCAGAGGTCAGGAGCCGGGTTTAGCGGCGGGTGCCGGGGTCGCGCTGGGGCGACTTTTGGGTACCGGGGTGGGGGGCGGTGTGGCACCGATGCGCGCGGCGCTGGAGGCGTTGTGCAGAGCGCGCAGCAGCTCGCTGCCCAGGCGCTGCAGCAGCCGCAGGTCGTCGCGCATGGAGTAGGAGAGGTCCAGCAGGAAGTACAGATCCACCGGCACGGCCCGCGCCCGCCGGAACCGCACGGCGAAGCTCAGCTCCTCACCTGGGGGGG